AGAGAAAGAGTGCACGTTGTTTAATGTCACTTTGACGACATGCATCATGTCGGTGGCTGAGACCGTTGGTATTACAGCTACAATAACTCATAAGTGATATTCTTCATTTTGAGGTCATGTATGGCCACTGGACCTGTGTGCTGATTCCTCTTTGAATGCTAACCCTAACCCAAGACAAGCAGTTAAAAGACATGATTAGATTTAATAAAATGTGATCAAGCAAATGTTAACATCTAAAGGCTGTCATACACATGCAACATCTTAAAGCTGCTTAAATGGATATTTTTTATCAGCTGTCAAACAGGATTTTTTTTGTTGTTCCAAAATAGTGTGTTGTTGCATGCTTACCTGTCACTGATACAGAAAATAATCACCGATTGGATGTTTAAGGGAATAAAAGGACATATTTTCCTATATCAATGGCATGCATTAACAACACCCCAGTGGCTGTTATGTCAGATAGCTCTGCAGTTAATATTTGACATAACTATCCTCTTTTGAAACTCCCGGCATTCTGCGCCATGTGTCTCGGCTAACATTACACGGGGTACTGTACGGGGGAACGGCAGGCATGAAGAAAGGGCCTCTGGTTCAAGCAGAGGGGAAAGGTATCACTGCAAGGTAGTCTGGTGGTTGACCGGCCGGCTCTGTTTAGTTCAGCTTTTCCGTGTGTGTGAAGTGATAGTTCCAACACATTGTGTTCTTGTTCTGCTCTTCTTCTGTTTCAGCTTTGGCAGGTGACCCGGCATTGGATGTATTGGCTACTGTGCACTAGGTGACAGCTTCTGACACTGTAATTGTCTGCTTTGAGCGAGGGGATGGAGGGTGTAATACATCTTATGTTTCCTTTCTGTAGAAATTATTGATAACTCGAGCTGAGAGGTGGTGTTGGTATCACTAACCTGGTCTAAGCAAGTCTTGATTGATGATGGTGATTTGGGTTTATGAATGGATTGTGGAACTAAAGTTAAAATGATCCTGAATTGACTGATTATCAAACATCTGTTTTTTTATATCATGGGAGTGACTTTTCATTAAGTACCTTTATGTCTAACATTGTGTTATTGCTAGCCCGAATGTAATCCACCAAAAATACTCCTATAGATCTTCTGTATCTGGAAACAAAAAACTTTTTTTTACCATGTAGCAAGACACTGTTCCAACTACAGAAATTAAAATGAAAATACAGTATATGGAATACATTATGAGCAAAACAGTCAGTTCCTGAAAAACAGTATTAAAAAAAGTGAAGAAATATTTAACCAAACCCAGATCACACACACTAAATGTTTGAGTTATATTGAGTCTATGAATGAAACACTTTATTTGATGGTTATTTTTACTCTCCATACACATTAAAAACAAACCTAAAAATAGTATATATTAATTGCACAACTACACATTCAGACTCTATAAATTGACATTGTTCACCACAGTGAAAATAAATAAAGCCAGAGAGACGGCGTAGACGTGTTGAGTTGGACAGAGAGAGAAAAGACTTCACATTAGCAGGGACGAAGATGGAGTTGCATTTGATATCACCTTCTGCGCTGCACATGTGCTGCGAGTGTTGAGAAAGAGAGAGAGAGAGAGAGAGAGAGAGAGAGAGAGAGAGAGAGAGAAGCATCCTCTACTAAATGGAAATTCCTGTGCTTCAGCCACAGCTGCAGTATGACACTTCAGATGGCCGCGCTTCCGTTTGTACAGCCCCCTGGAATTAGCCCAAACCACAATGGCATCACATCAGAAAAGAAAGCAGGAAAATCAGACTTTATTATCTGCCGCTGTGGAAATATCTGTGCTGGGAGGAGAAGGGGGCACAAGGCTCTTGGCTTCCATGCCGTGTCAATCGTCATTTTATTATTGAAAACACACACACAGCTGCCTTCATAAAAGTGTCAGCTAACCCACTGATATGATACCTGTGCATTCTCATTTCCCTCTACTTATGGCTCTAATTTTAGAGGCAAAAAAGACAATAGTTTTCCACAGCTTATGGTCAAGTGCAGGTAATGTTATGTATGACATGCTATAACTGTAAATTGATTTGGCTGCAGAGAAATTCCTGCGGCCCTATCATGTCAAACTGAACCTATAGTGCATCAGGGCTGAGGAAACATTGTTCAACTATAGCGCTGGGAAACACACTCTCTGCTAACTAAGAGACGTGGTATCGCAGAGAATAAAACTTTCCATCAAATTGTGTTTGGGGAGGGGATTCACTTCAAAGAGATCTCAACAACAGTGCTGTCTGTCTAATTTACGTTCTCAAGCACATGCCAAATGTAAAAACCCCAATTTTGAGGAGTGTATAATTACAGGGAGAGAATGAATGACTATAAATACCCCCATCATTACTAGTCCCTCCTGAAGAACATGATCCACACTGAAGGATAATTAAGGCAAAATATTTCTGATCCTCCAACTGACTGTACCAGGAATGTGTGCATGCGTACTCGTACTGGGTTTGTGTGTGTTGGAAATAGAGAGTGTGTGTGTGTGTGTGTGTGTGTGTGTGTGTGATGAGAGGGAGGGGGATTCTCCCCTATATATAGTACTGTTCTGGTAGAGCTGCTATGTACGGATACTTCAGGCGAACTCAAGACAGACCAGCTTTAATTGGTTTGCAGAGTCATTAATGGAACAGAAGCGCAACTCGAGAACACGCGTGTGCGTCTGAACACGAGCGCTTATGTGTGTATATTGGACCCTGTCAGTGCCCTTTAAACAACAACAGACACAAGGAAATAACTTTGATCAACAAACATGTAGCAAACAAGAAGATAATAATGAACCTCCATGTTCAGCCGAGGTCTCTTAAAATAGATCATTTCAACTAGGATATATCAGATTTGAGGATAATATTTCTAGATTAGGCCAGCTAATTAGTGCCCAAATATTTGGCTCTGCACTTTGACTGAGATCCAAATAAGCATATTGTCCTCGTTGCAGAGGAGTGAAAGAGCTTTCCTGTGTTCTTCACTCTGAGTCAGAAAGAATGTTCAACTGAGACAGAGAAAACTTTACTCGACTGCACTCGCTGCCTCGCTTTGTTATCTCCTCCTCTCTTTCTTGCCCGATCAAAACATAAGAATGTCGCTTTGAGTGGCCAAATGAAAGAAAACCAGGCAAACATGAGCGAGAGACCGTGTTTATTTCTAGTGTATCTATAAGCCAGGCCAGGTTTTTGTGTCAGCAGGGGTCTGCATGGGTTGTTGAGTTGTTGTGAGTTGTTGCTGAACCGGCAGCGAGTCAGTCAGCCAGCCAGCCAGTTGTCAGGCAAGTACCAGTTCCTTGTTGCTATTTGTGTTCGAGTGTAGCCGTGCCGAGAGCCTCCCTCCCTCCGTTTTCCCTTTTCCAACCGAATCCTCCAACCTCTTCCTGTGGCAAGCATCGTGTCTTACAGCAGCCTATCACTCCTGCAATGAAAAGCCTGTGACCAAGGCATCCGTCCCTTTCACTGCTATTGTGTCGCTGAAACAAGGAGCAGGAGCAAAGCAGTCAGCTAAACATGGTGTAGCAGGGTTGGATGGTGGCCCCGCTGTGGCTGCTGCTGCCGGCCTCCACTGACTTGTTGTCGCTAGTTGTTGTGTGTGTGTCCCCCAGCTGGGGCCAGGGCCAGGGCCGGGGATGGCTTTTGTGTCATCGTGCGACCAGTGCTGCACTCATGAAACTAGATAAATGGATTAGAGGGGTGCAGATATGGGCGGGCATCTTTGAGAAAAGACAAGGGAGACGTTGAAGGGAAGCGGGGGGTTGGAAGAGGAGGGTGACGGGAAAGGAAGAGGCAAAGACATTTGTGTTGTTGGGCTACAAGGGGTCGAGTCTGTTGTAAGAATAGCCTGCTTCTGACTAAAAAGACAAGACAGTGATAAACTTTCCTCCCCATGCAGTCACCTCTCTCCTCCTCGGTCTCCCTGTTCCACACACACACACACACACACACACACTCACACACACACACACACAAACTGTCACAGCGCACAATTCACCACTAAAATGAATGGATTGCCACAGTGTGACACGTCTCAGTTGCAGGGGGAGATGGTCCTTGTTCACCGACAAAAGACTGTGGTATTATGGGGGGCCACAGCCTGCGACAGAATGCTAAATTGTTTTAGGGTCAACAACTTATTGTCTTTGCATGAGCCACAATTTACATATCTCCCGAGTAGGTTTCAGCAGTCAGTCGTCAGATGAATATAGCAGAACCTCCTCTAGCCTTTGAAGGAGTTGGAGCTTTTCAAAGGTTGCTGGAAATAGTTTTGATAGTTGTTTTTTTTAAATCTTTTTTAGTTTTTTTAAGAAACAGCAAAACAACCTTTTTCTTAGTCTCCTCATGAGTAAATGGATTTATGATATAATGTATGGTAATCATTATTTTTATTATCACTTTAACCATCATTGGGCAATTACCATAATATAAGCATTGTTTACTCTGTCTAACAATGGACGCTGTCTCTAAACCAAAGAACATTATGCATTTACCTCTATCATCCCAAAGCATATTATTCTTTATTCTCTATATTTACATTTAATTAATTTATCTTTTTTCATGGTCTTTATTTTCTTTCCTCCCCCTGCGTCGTGGCCCAGGGCATACGGGGTAGAAATGGCTGGAAGTGACAGCCTAATTATCAGCTCCAACTCCGCTCATTACCCATTAGACAATCCACTGTACATCCACTTACTAAATGAATAATTTTGTATATATTATGGGAACACAATATTATGGCCTGCAGCTAACGCCTTTGCGCTAACCTCACGCTGTTTCAGTACAAAAGAAATAAATGGGACACCGAGAGGTTATTTAATTTTACCCTTAAAAGCCAGCTCATGAGAGGATGTCATGTGCAAATGGGGCACGGAGGGAGGGGGGGTATGGAATTTACACACCTGCCTTTTTCCGCCGCAAAATCAGAATCATTATTGCCAAAGCACGTGTGGTAGCATAAGTGAAATTGGCAGGAGTCAGTTCAGGCTTATGGCTTAATATTAATCTAATTTTCAACGACTGATATCTACTGATGTGGGCTGGAACACTTTTTTTATCTCTTCACATAGTAATGTTTTTATACCAATTGAGTTAGGGCTGCAAAGAAAAAGAAAAGACTGTTGAGTTAATATTGACGCAGTCATATTAAACGTCCTTCTCGGACTATTACGGTAAAATTATTTTCCTTTTCGCTCTGTTGAATGCTCTGGAACTAAGATTTCCCTATTTGCGTGTTTTGATGTATTTGTGTTGTGAGTTTAGTTGTGTTAATGTAGCCATAAAAGCGGAATGACCCCGCTCCTTTCAACAAAACCCTCAGTGACCTTTGTTAATTTTTCCTCAACTGCGTGACTATTTAGAGAATGGCCATTTAAGTGACACAGATTTATGCTCATATACGTCCCCCACTGCCACACGGTCTAGTCAACGTTTACCAAGCATTCAAAGAAAGGATGAGTCACTTTTGCAAGTTGCTGTGATGTTTTAGACTTGTGCAATTATTTGTAATAACTTCATTTGGAAGTTGTGTTTTTCAAGAGGTAATACGATTAAAGCCCCAAACTGTGGATTTGTTATTGCAAATTAATATTTGAAAATTAAAGATGATTTCGGCCCCAAACGAATAAAACATTTTCCAATGATATATCATGTGAATTTAGTGTCACACTATTCCCATAAATAAAGTGACTTCTAGTTTTGCTCTTTGTATTACTCTGGGATGTGTGACATATAATACAGTCAGGTATAATGGGTTTGAATCAAACTGTAAAGCATACTGCATTATGCACGACAATACAGTTACAGTACAACTTGTACTGTACAAGTATTTCCACGTGATTTATAGCTCTTTGGAGGCTGAAAGCTGTTTCAAGCAATATAATACTCGCCTATAGAGGTCGCTGTGATATTGCAAAACAGATGTGCTTATGTCACTCCACAAGTTTTGGCCAATCAAATAATTGACCTCAGTTCGCAGATTACTGCCATTTACAAAGGTGCCCTAATTCAAACAACTAGCATGTACTCCTACTAAACTTCAATTATTTTTTAAATAGATTACCAAAAAAAAAACAAAAACAAAAAAAAGCGTGGAGTTTTATCCAGACTATAATTAACCAAAAACTATCACATTTTACAAAAATGTTACATTTACCGTTACTATAATATTTGTGGAAGCTCTTGTAATGAAAAGAAAAATGCTCGCATCATCTCCCATCACAGCTAATTACTTCACTTCCGTCTTATTATGTTTAAACCCCATTAGACTGTTGTGGTAAATCAATATTTGTTTTTGGTTACCGATTGAGGAGCAAAGAAGCTGCTTTCATAGGCTAACGATCACCATCAGCCGCGGGACAGAAAGGACCCCAAAACACTGACCCTGCTCCTCAAGGCCAACAGTGTCAGCCCGCTCCTCCTCCCAAAACTAAAATATTAATAATTTATCTTTGAATCGACTTCGCTCTCTGACAGATTAGATTTTAACCATTTGATTTTGTTTGGGCTGGGCGTTCCCATATTATTACTTAATGACCTTCCCAGCTGCTCCTGTCCATTTTCTGTCACCAGCAACCATCTGGACACTTATTAGCACCTCAATGCATCCACGCTGCTTTCCTCCCAAACTTGAATAAAATTAAGGCTGGCTGCGCACTGCCAATATCTTTTTTCTCTCTCCCATTCACACCCTTTTTGAAATGAAATTGGTAGAAGGCCAGCATTTTCTTTTTATAATAATAATAATACAAATAATAATAATAATAATACCATGTAGAAAAGAAATATAAGCTGAGGATACTCGTGGGTTTTGTCTATAATTTCATTTAGTTTATTAGGCAAAATATACGATCTGGACAAATTCCTTCAACGCTTCCTATTTACAAATTTAAATCACTTGGTATTTACATTAAAGAAAGGACACCAAAAACACAAGATAGAGACAAAAATAATAATAATAATAATAATTATTACAAAGTAAAAAGCCTACCAAAATGTCCCAGCCTGCCTCGGCAGAGTGGTGAGAGAGTAACATTATAGGCGCGATTATAGGCTACACAACAATAGAGGAAGTAATCCATCCATCCACAGGATATTACCAAATTACGCCATTTGTTCTGTACCGACTGAATGCTACGCTGCATTAGTATTTCTCAGTGTCCTTTTTAGGGAGTGTAAAGTCTTTTACAGTCTTTTTTTTCTATTCATCCTTTCTTTTTTTCAAGCACGAAAAAATGTCTTGATCAAGCCGAGGAGAGAGCAGTGAGGACTCGTTGCGTGGCGTCTTGTGGACTCCTGGCGCTGGAAGGCAGAGAGGATCTGGATAAGAATAATACAGAAAGGTAGATAAATACCCCCACCGTGTTTGGACAGCGGGTTTCAATATGCATCTCAATTGTCTGGCTGAACAGCTTTGATTTGAAACAGACTGCAGCGCCCCTCTCCAATCCCCCACTTACTTATTCTGATAATAATAATAATAACAATAATGATAATAATTATTATGATAATGATAATAATAATGATATATCGAAAAATTATTTTCAGACTAAAAAAAAAATATGTCTGGGGAAAAATCCTCTTTATGTAACCATTATCAACATTTATTATCTTATATACATACTATATGCTTGTTATTTTTATATGACTGTTGCACACAAATGGGGTATTTTGTATTGGGCCTACTTGAGAACGAGGTAAACTTTTTTTCCCCTTTCTGTAAGAGCGATCCCTAGGGCTCCGGGACTCCCAGGGGTCTTTAGGGAAAGCACACAGCCCAGACAGAGCCCGTTTTACTCGGTGACTTGATAAGTAGCCACACTCTCCCCAGAGGGGAGGAATTAAAGGGGGTGTTGGATGGGAGTCAAGACCCCTGTCACCCGCAAAGCAAACTGTGTTTTATTTATTTTTATTTTGTAATTTTATCATCGTTGTTTTATGTAAAAAAAAAAATGTAATAAAAAAAATCCCAGATATAAAAGTTAGGTTTATCCTGGAAATAGTAAAACAATTTGTATCCCCTATAATCGTTTTCTGGAATAATAACTGGAGATATAATTTCATCAAAATCCTGCTTAATGCTTAATTTTAGTTAGTTTAACGACATATGTTATATACATTGCTGGATGTATAAATCTGTCCATATTTTAAATGATGCAATAACCACAGCATGCTGAATGTATGGGGCTGCTAGTTATTTTCCTAAATATAGTTTTGATATAGTTTTAGTTTCCAACAATCAACAAAAGCAAAAAAGTAAAGTAGTACCTGTCATGGATGGGTCGAAAGGAAGACTTCAGAATCTGTGTTGGAGGTGAATCGGACCTTACACCGTTTTCGTGCTCTAAAAAGGAAATAAGCAAAACACTTATCAGTACTGGAATGCTGGATAAATTATAGTCCGATATTTTTATATATGAACATGTCTGACTAAAAAGGTGTCCACTGTTGATGTGTTGATCTAGTATGTGAACATTGTGGATTTAAGTATGTATATGTGGGTGCATGCGTGTACACAGTGCTTTATTATATTATAGCACACACACATATATAGATTAATAAATAAATAAAAACAGGCGTGCGATGCACCATTAATGTAAGACACGCTTCTCTTTAATATAAAATGCATGGCGCTTGAGCAGTGACATGTATGCGCGTGCACGCGTAGAGAGTGTTGTGTTACCTATGTGCTTCGGACTGTGGCTCTCTGGTGGGGCCTTGCTGTCATTGCTGAGTGCTGCCGCGGCTGCTAATGGCGACACCACCACTGATGTCGGCTGTTGCTGGGCCTGCAAGTGGTGGTGGTGGTGCTGGTTTACTCCCAGAAACGACCTTACATTTAGGAGGGAGTTCTGACCCAGGAAAGCCCCGTTTGTCCAGTTGTGGAACTTTCCAATCTGGCAAGTGTACAGTCCATGACTGGGGAGGAAGGCCGGGTGGGTCTGGATCTGGTGGTGGGGCGCTGATGAGAGAGTGGTGGCCCCTGGGCCACAAGGGGACGTGGGTTTCTGGGAAGAACTATCGGGACTTGTCGCGGTCTCTGCTAAAGACCATATTTTCGGCTTATTGTTAGACGGGAGAGGAAAGCTCCCGGGTCTATCCGGGGACAAGACTCTTGTGGTGTTGTTGTTGTTGCCGTCCGAGTTCTCTTTACTCCCTGGGTGAACTGAAATTGTGCTCTTAGATTTGTCAAAGGCCTCATGGGCCTGTATGGCGAAGGCCCGTCTTTTCTCCAAGCTGTCCAACTCTCCACCCGCACCGACACTGCCCCTGTGGTCCCTGCTCCCCTCCGTTGATCTGTCATCATCGTCCTCGTTGCTCTGATCCCCGTCATTGTCGTCGATTTTGTCTATATCTATGCTCTCCAAATCAATCTCCTCCTCGTCTTCGTTTTTCTCCCCCTCGTCTCCACTGCCGAACAAGTTACCGTCCTCCCCGTCCTCTTTGCTCCTGCTTCCCCAGGTCACCTTGTTCTCCTTCTTGAGCCTCCTCCTGGCGTTGGCGAACCACGTGGAGACCTGCGTCAGCGTCATTTTGGTGATGATGGCCAGCATGATCTTCTCCCCCTTGGTCGGGTACGGGTTCTTCCTGTGCTCGTTGAGCCAGGCTTTCAGGGTGCTGGTGCTCTCCCGGGTGGCGTTCTTGGGCCTGGCCGGGTCCCCGTACTGAAACTGGCCGTAAGGATAGAAGGCTGGAGATGTGTGGGCTGCAAAGCTGCCAGGATGGACGCCAGGACTGTCCTTCAGCTCGTACTGGGATCCCTTGAAGATGAAGAAAAACGGTGGAATTTTTAAAATGTATAAGATACACTGAATTTAACTTTATTTAATTTGAATTTAATATAGATATTTATATTATCTTACAACGTAGCTTAAATGCACGTTGGCCATTGTTTGTATTTGCAACTCAAACCCTTGACTCCGAGCTTTCCACAAATAAGTTTCTCAACTTGCAAAATACCACATGCTAGGCCTGCGTCACCTGCGCGTGCACAAAGGCTCACTCCAACGCAAGGACCTTTTATTAGCAAACATGTTGCGTATACATGTCCGTCTAAAAACGGAATAAATTAAGTCAACAGGGCGAGAGAAAAATCCGTCGCATCATTGTGAACACTCAGATGCTATTCAGACTGCCAGCTTTCATGTTTACCTGCCAAACTCTACTCCACACTGCTCAAGTATATGTCAAAGCACTTTTAAGGCCTAAGTGAAGTTTTACCAGCGTGCCACACTTACTCAGGCTGGGATATATTTCATTTGGGCACAAAACTCGAACATATCGATCAGGTCACGTTGAAGATTTTGGGATAATTGCTCTTGTTTTGAAGCTTTAGCTCAAAGCTGCGTATGGACCTCACGCACACATTTGCCAACACATTGACACACTGCAAGTAAGTTATTATCACCAGGTAGAGGCTACTTTAGGCCAACAGATGTCTGACAATTCCTCACCTAGACACATTAAAAATCCATGTGGCATTCAACCATGACAGAAGCATATATTGTCACAAAACAAAGCCGAAACGGTGAAATCGTATTATTATCGTTGATAGCCTGCACTTTCAAATGTGGACTTTATTTTTAATGATCTGATAGCAATTAATCTGTCCACGGCAAGAAACGAGTAGAAACTTTTTCTTTACTTTTACTGACATGCTTAAAACGCAGATCTATATTGCAATCTGTTTTCTTCTGCCGTGAAATGTAACTTAACGTTGGATCGTTTTAACAATATCAGCTAAAACTCGTGGTTTGTGTAAATTGCATATTTTGGTAATATATATGCCTATATGGGCAAATACATCATTTTGAATAAGAGTTTTTGATTCTTCTTTTTGTTTTTAGCGACAGCTCAAACTTTGCGCATTTGTAACTCGGCCAAATATGGCACTGATCAGTGAAAACTTGAGCAAATATTGACTAATATTAAGAAATCAATATTTAAAAAAAATCAGACATACTAGAATGCATTTGCATTTCTGAATTCGTTGTGTTTACATTACTCAGCCTATAGAGCGGTGAGAACTTCAAGCTTAAACAGTAGCCTGTGCAACACCAAACCCGAAAAGAAAACAACCAAAAAAAAAAAAAACAACATGAATTCTTACCATTTGTGAGAAAAGAGCCAAGTCCGCGCTGGTGTAAGGTAAGAAAGCGCTGTAGTTGTGTGCGTACGGGTTTGCGTACATGCCCAACACCGAGCTGACCGCCGCTGCTGTGGCGGACGGGCTTCCCCCGATTTCAGTGCTCCCTCCCCGGGACGAAGGCGTAAGCACTCCCGGTCTCTCACTCCCGTACACCGCCTGGGAGGCACTTAAGTACTGCGGGTAGCCTAGCTGCGGGAAAGACATCTCCACCGCCGAATTGCCACACGGTCGTATCGTCCGACAAAGCTGTGCGTAAAAAAGTGTGCGAGAGAAAAAAAGAAAAAAAGAACCCGGAGGAGTGAAGGGAAAGTGTTTTAGCCAAAGTCACAGCTACTACAGACATACAGCGGTGTGCAGTCAAAACAACCCGCTCTTAAATCTCGGCTTCCTCTCTTTTCTCGCGCAAAGTCCGCTGGATGTGATCTGATCAACAATTGCGCTCCGACTGACGCGCCTGGCCCTGAGGTCTCCAGGCTGATCTCTCAGATACAATTTGAAGTTGATGCTTTGATTGGCATCCCCTACTTGAGCCTGCAAGCTCCTCCTCATTTGGAGCGATGTGGATAATGTGAATATAGAGTGAGCACATTGGCTGGGGCCTCTCTCTCTCTCTCTCTCCTCTCTCTCTCTCTCT